TGTGTTGCCAGGACTGAGCCCTGCACAAAACACCAAGCCTTTCCTGGGTGGACTTCAAGCCCCCATCTTCTTGTCTTCAGGGCAGTATTTACCAGCAGAGACATCCAGGGCTGACGCTACCCTGAAGTGTCCGTGTTGATACTGCTGTCAGTGGGATGCTCTGTGTCTGGACCTCCCTTTCTCTGGTGGCACCATCAGCTCTCCGTTGCCTGGGACCACCCTGAGTGCTCCAGCACCTCTTTGCAGAGCTGGCTCAAGTCCAGCATCACCTTGGAGTCTGCAAGAGATCCACTTCATGAAACAGCACTTGCCAGAAGCAGTAGGAGCCAGAGGGGTGTTCCTGTGAGGAGCAGTGCAGTCCAGTACCCCAGAAACCCCAGGAGATCTCAGGTGGAGGACAGCGGTGTTGCACAACTGTCCCTGTGCCCTCATCCCTGAAGGTCCAGCAATAGGGAGCACACACGGGGCTTGCAAGCATTTTCTAGCAAGCTTTGCCTTCTCCCACCCCATCCCTGAACCACCCCTGGGACATCAAGCAAACCTTTTCCTTCCCATGGGCTGAACACAGGCGCAATGGGGTGGTAGGGCTGCAGGAAAGCAGACATGCGTCTCTCCATCCCCATGCGGTGCCCACCAGGCGCTGGCACTGACCGCACTGCCCACCATCAGTAGGAAAAGGGAGGGCAGCATGCAGGCTGGGGAAACACCCTTGCCCACCCTGCTCGTGCAGCCCACCCGTGTCCCGGCGGCAGCCACCCGGGAAGCGGAGAGAAGGAGGCTGACAGTAAGATGGGTCCGTGCCCAGATCCACTCTGCAAGACATGAGGAAGGCGACAACGGCAGCGGCACTCCGGTTAGTCACTGCCGGGAAGCGTGCCATCCCGGAGGCTGTTGGCAGGCCGGCAGCGTTTTCGACCACCTGTTGTGCGTGGCCTTAGTGTCCCGGCGGCAGCCACCCGGGAAGCGGAGAGAAGGAGGCTGACAGTAAGATGGGTCCGTGCCCAGATCCACTCTGCAAGACATGAGGAAGGCGACAACGGCAGCGGCACTCCGGTTAGTCACTGCCGGGAAGCGTGCCATCCCGGAGGCTGTTGGCAGGCCGGCAGCGTTTTCGACCACCTGTTGTGCGTGGCCTTATTTTGATGATGGTTTCAAGAATGCTCCGAGGAGGGGTGCAGCCGGGTAGCGGGAGCTGATGGGAAGCGCAGAGGAAGGAACAGGAAAAAACTGCAGGGGCTTGTTGGGGACAGTGCCCAGGGTCTCCTGGCCTCATAAGAACCAGGATCCATTTTGGGCTCCACAACTCCGGAGGCAGCTGCTACGGGTGCTAAAACCAGGTGCCTGTCACCTGCTGAGGGTGCAAACATCAAGGTGCTGCGTGGCCAGGAGGGTTGGACCCAAAGCCAGTAGGGAAGTAGTGTCGACCCGTCCCCCTCCTGGCACATGGGGACCCAACACGGCTCGCCCATCCCTGCCCAAACAACGGCTGGAGGGAGGCAAGGGAGGACACGGGAGCTGGGACACAGCAGATGCATTTCGTCACCCAGCCAAGGGGTGTGTGTGTGTGTTGGGGGAAGGGGTGGCTGGGCGTGTGGCTGCATTTATTGCCTCTTCCCGCCAGTGCCTGCGCCCACACACGGGCGGCAGGGACCCAAGGGCACAGCCCACAGCTCACTGGACTTTCACCCTGTTGTGCAAACAGGCAGGCGCTCAGATTAGGGTATCAGTTGGAATTTCATCCTGTCAACGGCACCCACGGCCTCTCCAAGAGGGTGGCAGAGCATCTTCTCTCCAGCCTGGCCCCTCACCCTCCCATGGGCACCCCAATGCAGCAGGTGAATTTGGGAGATGTACCCCCAGGCTCTGTTCCCCTTCAAGCTTCCATCTTGAGCAAGATCTTGCAGGCGATGGGTGATGCCCAGGGCTGGGGCTGCCACCACCCCATCTCTTATCAGAGCAGGACCCCACCAGCTGGTTGCCATGTGGCAATGACAAAATCTGATGTCAAAGGCAGGCAAAGCCTGGCCAGGAAGGAGGATGCATGCGGAGGAGCCAGCCCCTGGCATGCAGACCGTGCTGCGTCCACGCAGAAGTGGACTCCAGTTTCCCCAGTCTGGCCCAGCTCCTTGTGCTGGTGGCCCATCCAGTCCCATCCCTTTTACCATATGGCACCAGCTCCATGGCCTTTGCCTCCCCTGGCCTGTTTTAGCTCCTGATGCCCCATGTCCCCTTGCAGGCGTGTGAGGATCCAGTGGTCCATTGCCATGGGCAGCCCAGGCGCTGTGCTGGTGAGCACAGGGTCACCAGGGTGCAGTCGTAAGAGCAGCCGCTGTTGCAAGGTGAGGAAAAAAACCATTGCTCTGTCCCTCTCTCTGCAGTGTCACCTCATCCTGCTCCTGTTCCTCCATCTCCTCCACCCACAAGGACTTTATCCCATATCAGGTGTCCCTCCACAGCCACCTACCCTGTCCAGGCACCTCAGCACACTCACCCCTGCCTCTTTCCAGGCAATGCTTGGCACGTTTTGGGGCTGGAAGAGCCGTTTGGGGCAGGGATTTGAGGACAGCCCCTTATTTGGTGCCCGTGGCTGGGATGGAGAGAGGAGAGTGTCAGGCACCGATGCCAGCTGTCCCAGGCACTATCTCACATCCTCGTTCTCTGTTTGCTCTTCTTGGACAAGGAGGATATTCAGCCCGTGAACAGCCATAAAACAAGATTAGAGGCCAGGAGGCACCAATGGGAGATGGCCACGTCCGTGGGCAGCTGGCCTTGTTCTTTGGTCTCCTCTAGCCCAAGCCCGGCCTCACCCTTTCCCCGGCTGCCCCTGGGGCTGTGAGTTTGCAGCCATCGGGTCTCCCTGCACAGCCAGCCCTCTCGGTGGCAAAGGCCATGCCACCCCCAGCGACGGCCCTGCGGGATGGGCACGCTGCATGCTACAGGGGCAAGGCTGCTGCACCGAGACATCCATTTGCACCCTTTTCGGTGGGGCTGGGCAGGACCCCTTGCTCCTGACACCAGCTGTGCTCAGGGGCATCAGTGTGAATGTTTGCGCAGGGTCATCAGTGTGACCCCGGAGCCGGCATCCCTCCCCTGCCAGAGCACAGCGGGCTGGGACGAGAGAGCAACAAACTGGTGGCGCACGGGATTCCTGCTCGCTTTTATTTTCACCGATGTCTAAAAAATAAAAAGGAAAACCAGTTCTGCCTTATATACACAAAAACTGAGCCAACGCAAACATTCATCCTTGCCACTGAGCACAGCTGGCAGCGGTGGCCGAGGGAGGTGTCAGCAGCTCCTAAAGGAGGAGACCCAAATCCTACAAGACCTGGAGCGAGGCGGCTCAGCGGGAAGGCAGGGACTCGCTTGTAAAAGCCGCAGCATGCCTGGGCACCTTGTTTTCTGGGCCACGAGGGCTGGGAGCAGCGCAAGGCTGGCGGCAGGCAGGGTGGCCGAGGGATGCAATGCACAAGCAGTGTCAGGTGCGATGCGAGGGCTCGGCTGGGTGCTCTGCGGGCAGCGGTGGACATGTTTGCTGCTCCATCTTTCTGGAGCCCAGAGAAATGGCACTGGGAAAGGCCATGCAAGCTGTCACATGAGGCCCATGCACCCTCATCCATGTCTTGGTCTTGGGAAGCTGCAGCCCAGGTGCAGCCCCGAGCAGGAGCCACAGACCCTCCTGTGTCCCAGCCATGTCCCGCTGGCCTTTGGGGCAGGGGAAACCCGGGCCAGTACAGGGGTCAGGACTCAGCAGGATGAAGGGACATTTCAGCTGCAGTTCACCAGCAGGAAAAGAGGGTTACTGGCCTAGGGCACACAGTGGGGGAGAGGTGGTGCAGTGCATGGAGGAGCAGGGAGCAAAACCTGGAGTCCTTTTGATTTTGAATAAAATAGGAAAAACCCACTTATCTTTCTTTCTGGAAACGACCTCTCCATCACCTAACGCCACGGCACGTGCCAGCCCTTCCTCTGCCTGACGCAGCCCGTGCCCACCCCAGCAGCAGCTCCCGGTGCCCACGGCAGCTGCATTCCCTTGGAACAGCACCACAAAGCTCTCCCGGTATCGGCCCTTCTGGACAGCCTGGGGCTGGTTCTTGCACCCTGTCCCGATGGCAAACCTTCTTGTTCTCCTCCTCTTCCCCACGGGAAGGTGATCTCAGGGCTCAGCAGGGTGGTCTGCCTCCAGCATGCCTGCACCCAGCTCTCTCCTCTCCCTGTGCTCCAGGTGGAGGATGGCTGCAGTGCTGCCTTGCCATGGCACAGCCAGGGGCACCGGGGCTGCCGGACACATCTCTGCGTGGGTCTTGGAGGCTGCAGGGGCTGAGCTGGGGCACAGGATGGGTGCTGCCAGGGTGGCTGTGGGACATGGGTGGGGATGTGCGGGGGACTCTCGCCAAGGATGTGCTCCAGCTCACCACCATCGCCATCGTTTGAAGGATTCCCCCCTTGGGTCCCACGGCCAAGGGTCTTGGCTGGCTCCCGCAGTCCAACTCGCTCTGCCTTCGGCACCCCCCTTCCCAGCACGGCAGATCCAGGAGACCAGCTCAGTGGAAGTTTGTTTTGCCCTGAGTCCAGCCAAGTCTTTTTCTAGTCCAGTCTTGTTCGATCTGCCCCAAAAGCACCAGGCAGCTGGATCACCAGGAGGACCAAAGGAAGCGTCCTACCAGCTCCACCTGAAGCACCGTAGGAAAGTCATCCTCCACCACCCCCTTCCTTCTGCTGACACTAGGACCTTGCCTTGGGCTACAAATACCAGAGCCAGACCAGTGCGTTTCCTACAGGAGAGCAATACTACCTAACCTATGGTTCTTATGTAGGAGAGACCCCACCAGCCCCTTGGGAAGGTCCCAGTGCCACCTCACCCAGCCTCACTGGCCGCCCCATTGGTTCAGCTGGGGACCATCGTGTCTTTGGGAAGGGGCTGTCACTCTTCAGAGCACACGGACCGGCTGGGCTCTGCTGCATAGTGCTTATCTCTTGGTGTCTACAGCTGGTGAAGGGGGCTAAGGCATGAATTCCTCCTTGATCGTGAGTGGAGACGAGGAGACGAGGTTTGGGGCGCTGCTGCTGCAGAGGCCTCCGATGGGTCCTGGCGTGCCAACAGCTGGTGGGGTCGGTGTGGTGGTGCTGGTGGGCTGGCTTTGCTGCTGCATCTTCTTTTTGTTCACCTTCCTCTCCTTCGCCCTCCGATTTTGAAACCAGATTTTCACCTGCAGAAAGACAAAGACGGCGATGTAGAGATGGAGACAGATGCAGCCAAGGATGACAACCCTCGAGGTCCCCCTGGGGCAGGGGAAGCACCCTGGGGTTTGGAAAAGAAGGCAGAGATATGGAGCAATGTGGGACCACTGCTCCCCAGCCCCATCTCCACCCAGGACATGGGTTTTCCTGGGACACCGCAGCACTGACCTGCCGTTCGGTGAGCCCGAGGGCAGTGGCCAGCTCAGCCTTGCGACGGATGGTGATGTAGCGGCTGTAGTGAAACTCCTTTTCCAGCTCCAGGCGCTGGTGGTCTGTGTACACCACCCGGTACTTGTCTTTCGTCCTGGTCTTGCCTGGCAGAGAGAGCAGAGTGGGGGTGAGCCAAGAGAGGATGGAAGGGAGGGGTAGGAGCATCACCGAGGACATGGAGGAGCTACACAGCCACCTGTGAAGAGGTCAGGAGAAACATGAAAATGCCCTGAGGCTCAGTGGAAAAGATAATTGTAAGGGTGCTACTGGATTTAACCCCATCCTGGGTAGCACAGGGGTGTTTCTCCATGTCGGACAGCACCTGGGCATTGGGGAAATTGGTTGGTGGAAAGACCAGGAGGGATTCAGAGGCATCCCAGGAAGATAGATTATAAATCCCACATGCCCTGACACACCACCCCCGAGAGGAGCAGAACTGCAAGCCCTGCGGTGGGCTGAGGACAAGCTGCCTGCAAACATACAGCCTGGGATGGCTGAGGGAAGTCCAGCTCTTTGGCAGGAAGCCCAAACCCAAGGTGCCAACACTTGAAAGCACCCAGATCAGGACAGGGGAAAGACAAAAAAACCCAGGGATGGCAGCATTTCTCTGCCACCAAGAGAGTTATTTTCCTCCTCCCTCTACCAAGGTAAGATGGAAGGCAGTGCTTATTCATTTGGTGCAGTCTTTAAAGATGGTTCGGTCAAAGCCCACATGGTGCACAGGCAGTGGTCTCTGGCCCAGGCCAGCCCAAATCTCACCTTGGGCCACCCCAGATATGGACAGAGCTTGGGGCCATGGAGCCCCACATCTCTGTGCACACAGATGCTCATCTGACGGGACCGCAAACGGCACCTGCCACTTTCTACCAGAAAAACACAGTTGAAAATAGCCCAGCCGCCTTCTCCATTAGCTCCTTCATTAATCTGCACGCACACGAGATGAGCTGCTGAGCAGGAGCCAACGGCTTGAACTCTGCTTGGGCTGGGGACCACAGAGGGCATGGGTGGCACCTCAAGGAAGGGTGCCCATGCCTGGCAGTTTGCTGACAATGACAAGTCCCTGGTGCTTTCTTCTGCAGAAGAGCCCATGGGTGGGGAATAAACACAGCTGTGAATATTTGCTTCTCCACCCAAAATAACAAAATCCTGTTCCAGGGTGTTGGGGGGATGGAGCTGTGCTTTCAGCTGAGTGGCCACTGTCCTTCCAACTGGGAACCCAGCCATTTGTTTGCCTTGAAGACACATTTGCCCATCTTCTGAATTTCTGCTGCTGAGAGCAGTGCTGCCATGGGAAGGGGCAGGAGCAAGCCCAGAACAGCTCCATGGATTTCCCTGGGGCTGTCCTGAGTGTACCAGCGTGGGCAGGATACTGCCCATCACTGCTGCAGATGTGCAGGGAGGCATTTCTAGTGACCCAGCAACCCATATAATCTCACCTGCTTCCCCCAGGAAAGGGGATCTTTGTGTGACTGCCATCCTGTTCATCTGTGCCCCCTAACAAGTCCTTGGCACATCAGTCCGTTTGGGCCAAATCTGATGGACACCTAGACATCTCAGCAATACTATTAAATTCTGACCATGCTAGTGGAAGCAGGAGTTTGGTTGGTGCAGAGCAAAACTGCGCTTCAGAAACTCCAGAGAATCTCCACGTAGCAAAACCCCGACCCTCAGGCTGAAAATCTGTTTCTCAACCAACTCAATTTTATTTTTAAGGGTGTCTCTCCCCTGCTTCCCCATTGCAAGGACACGGGGACTTTCCTAAGCCACCTCTGATGCTGAAAGATAAATGTAAAAGAGCATTGGAGACAGGACAACCCACAGCCATGGTATGCTGCAAGTGGAAGAGGAGCTCCCTCAGGATCATTTCCCTTGCAGCATCCCATGGGATACCAAAAGGCAGCTGGATTTCTACAAAATAAGCAAGAACCAGCAAAAGTCTATCTTCTGCCATTGGCCATCAAGCAAACCACATGTAGAAGCGTGAGTGTGAGTGTATGAGTGTGTGTGCACCCCTGGGTGCACGTGGAAGCTGGGGTGGGCATGACAGGTATCTCACCCTGCTGGGACTTGACCCCAGCGCTCCCAGTCACAAAAGCAGCAGCCCTGCAATTCAGGTCAGCACCCAGTTTCCATCACTGTGTCACTCTCAGTGTCCTCCTGCCATCACTCCTGGAAGCAGGTGCCAGCACGGGGTCAGCACAACCTGAGCAGGATGATGCCAGGGGCTGGCTGGGATGGCCGAGAGTCTCAGCACGGTCCCCAAACAAGGAAGGGGACCTTCCCCAAAGGAAGGAGGGTAGGAGCACGGTAAGGTGCAACACAACCATGAGTAGAACCCAAATCTCCCAGCACCAGGGCTGGGCTTTAGCCACTAAATCATATTTGAGGGATGTGATGAATTCAGTCACCACTTTAGAGAGCAAGGAGCCTAGCTCATGCTGGGGCTGTTTGGAAGCAAACACCTAATCCCTCCTCACCACCACCGAGAGCAAACCCTGCCACACAGGGTGACTCTGCAGGTAAAACCAGGGTAAAAAAGGCAATTTGACTGAGCAAGATGTGTATGGAGATGTCTGCAGACACTCAGCCAAAACACAGTGATTTAGTGCACGAGGGGTCTGCGGTGGCATTGCTGGGTGTTTGTCTCCTCTTTGGCACGCGTCAGCCATGGCAGCTCGGAACAAAACTGACCACGGCGCGGTGCGGGGCTGGAGCGATGCCGGGGGCACCTGGCCCACACAGGACCCCACGCTTTCCCCTCGCTCTCCCACAGGGTCCCTGCCCCTCCTGTGGGGTCACTGCCTTCTCTCGCTGCCCCACAGGTGAAGGGTTCATCAGCATGAGAAGGACTTCTGCATCCATCCCAGGAGGGATCAGTGCCAAATTTGCAAACACAGCGATTCCCAGGGAGTTACAGAATAAACCAGAGGCACCGGCAGAGATTTATGCAGGGTTTAGCAGCTCCGTGAGAAACCAGGCTCCCTCCGTCTGCTCCAGGCTCAGGGACTCCCACAAGATTTTTTTTCTTTCTCATATAAATGTATCTTCTTTTTTTTTTTTTTTTTTTCATTTGAAAGCAAAAACCTTTCTGAAAAGATAATGACTTAAAAATTATCTTATTTGCAATATTGCTATTTGAATGCCACCGCTTGGAGAAAAAACAGCTGGAAAGCAATGGAATTGACAGATAAAGTAAAAAAAATAATTAAAGCATAGAGAATTAAGGCGGTTTGTGAATACTACGTATGCCATGAATTTCAGCAAAATTATTATTTCCGGCTGCAGCTGTAAATAGATCCATCACAGCTTGTTCTTTGTTATTCCCTCTTCACCGTTCATCCCTGATGAAGCCTGTGCTTTGCCTCAGGTCTGGCAGATACCTGGCTGTGCTGGCGAGCCATTGCCATGCCAGCTGGCCACCAGTCTTTTGCTGCCCAATATCAAGCAGCAAAGACTCAAAGAAAGGGCTCACGACCAAGCCTGAGATGGAAAGTTATTCATCTTGACTAATTGCTGGTTTCAGTGATGTTTGCTGAATTCAGGAATGTATTGTGGGTGATTCACGAGGAAAAGAAAAGGATTTGCAAGAAATACTATTGACAATGAATAATTCAACTACCTTGAATATGAATGCTAGGTTACGTTTAAGTCTCTCCTGGAGACTTTTTTATGGCTCTGTGAAAGGAAAGACGAAATTTGGGATGAGCCAGCCCGGTTCCTTTAGGGGGAGTCCTCGTACCTACAGGGAAACCCCAGCGCTGCAGCAGGGATCACGGCTGAGCAGAGGGATGGAGATGCTCCCGCATTTCCAGCGAAGCCTGTCGGAGGTGGATCGGGCTGTCCCGGAGCTGCTGCTGCTGCAGCGGGAGGGAGCACGGATGGAGTGCGTGGGGTGCAAAGGGGATGCTGGTGATGTCTCCGAGCACAGCCGCTAGCCCCTCCCAGCCCCGTTATGCATTTAAAGTCTCTTCTTCTTGTCCCCAAAAGACCAGGCAAAGGAACTGCTTGGGCAGCCAAATGGAGCCATCCGCGGGGCCAGTGGGAAGGGTTTCGGCTTTGGGATCAAGGCAGGGCCAATGGCTGCGTGGGGAGAGGGTATCGTTACCACTGTTAATGTATAACCCTAATAGCACTCACCTGAGCCATGATTAGATAAGGGAATAGCTTTAACGTGCTGTGCAAACCCCAAAGGACACACTCCTGAGTGTGCACGCACACGCACTAGCACACACGCAGGGGGACGGGGTCCTGACCCCCAGCCTGGATCTGTTCCCCATGGCAGCACTGCCCAGGGATGGGGATGCTGGAGCTCCTGCTCTGGACCACATAGGGAGCCTGGCAGGGGAAGGAAAAATCAAACTAGATCCCTGTGCCCACCACCCGGGGCTCTGCACCCTCATGGCCATGGCAGAGGTTGCCAGGGAGGGGGTAATTCACCCTCTCCAGCCCTGGCCTGCCCAAAGGATGGCTTTCAATAAGGAACTGTGCCCCAAACACCCCAACAGAGAGGCTATAGGGTGATGGGGTATTTTGAGGCTGGTGTTGAGCAATCTTAGGAAGTGCTGGGAACAGGCTGGTTCAAACCAGGGAGGAAAAGAGACTGCGGGGTGGCGGTGGCACCCTGGGAGGAGGTGGAAAGTAGTGAAGGAGCAAGAGCTGGCATGGTGTTTTGGAGCTTGTCTTTTCCTCAGTTCCACAGAGAAATGCACTCAGCCCGGTGTGTCCAGCTTGGCTAAGAGGGGGTCAGGCTGGCTCTGAACGGAGCATCCCGCTCTGTGAGACACAGCCCTTCCAGCCGCAGCAGGAACAGCACAGCTGCCAGCAGTGAGGAGCATAAACCTGCACGGTTTTCTAAAGGTCTCTATTTCAGAGGTCAAAGCAGCTCCAAATTGCAGCAGCTGCAAACCCTGGCTCCGTGGGAAGCTGCTACAGAGCCATCAGGACTCCAATCAGGGCAGCCGGGGTACGGCAGCCCCGAGATGAGAGCCCACCGCGCTGCCCGCCAGAGGCCCCCAAGGCCTGGAGACACGGGCACGTTGCACGCTGCTTTGCACGGGAGGTGCTGGTGTGGGGGACAGAAGCAACGCTGCCAGACCAGCTGGCC